GTTAGTATATATCGATATCGTTGAAAAGTTAAAAAAGTTCTAAGTATCCACGAAGCAGGAATACAAAGTTCAGCCAGCAGCAACAAGTAGCACCACTCAATTCCCGCTAGAGTTTGCACCTGCATGGTTATACATATATTATATTTATAATACAGGGTGCCCGGAAATTATGAGCAAAAAATTCAGGGGATAATTCTAGACCGAAAATAAATGCTACCTCTTTCTATAACATTTTTTCCAAAACTGATTATTAACGGAGTTACAGGGTGTTAAAGTTAAATTTTATTTGCAGTTTTTTTGCAATACCTTTTGCCACACTCATAATATTTTGACGAAATTTCGTATATGGGGGTTTTTCGGGATGAGGATTATAAATTTGCCCACCGTTTTTTCGCATTTTGTAGAGGGCGCCACATACGAGCCTTTATTTTGATTTGAATGGTTCCAACTTTTTTGTGCTACACTTTATGCGACTTTTGACTGAATATTTTTGTTCTCCTAACCTTTTGACATAAAAAAGGTATACTTTATTTGTTTCGATAAATCTAACCGTTTTCGAGAAAAACGCTAAAATAACATTGCTTGCATGTGATGAATACGAAATCATTTTAATTTATTTTCTACATTAAACATAGCATGCTTTGGAAACAAGCGCTTAGTTGCCTTGGAAACAAGTTTGTGGAGAATTAGTTTTGACAGATAGTAATTTTTGTGAAAATTTGTTGTTACGCTGATGGTGGTTAATGATAAATAATAAAAAAATAACGTCCTCAACAAATAAAGAATGGTTTACTAACAAAATCATAAGGTTAAAATACATAAGTTACTAGAACAATACAAATACAAATTAAACATTCAAATCAAAGGTTCAAAGTGACGTCCTTCCTCTTCAATGCATAAATTAATTCTTCTTAAAAAATTCCGACGAACTCTATGGAATATTCCTTCTTTTTGCTTAATTACCTCACAATTAGCAACAATTCTTTCTCTCAGTTCATCGACGCTATTCACAGGTGTCCTGTATACAAGCGTCTTCAGATAGCCCCAAAAAAAGAAATCGATTGGGTTTAAGTCAGGGGATCTAGGGGCCCACTGTACAAAACCACCGCGTCCTATCCACCTTTCAGGAAAAGTTTCATTTAAGAATTCTCTGGCCGCTAAACTAAAATGCGGTGGCGCGCCATCTTGAAGCAGCCACATTGCATTTCTTAATCCGAGTGGTACATCTTCCAATAGAATAGGTAAGTGGTTTCTTAAAAAATCCAAGTAAACTTCACCATTGAGTCTTTGTGGAAAGAAATGTGGCCCAATTAAGTAGTCCCCTACAATACCGGCCCACACGTTGACGGAAAACTTATTTTGATAACCACGCTCTATTGATAAATTAGGATTCTCATCAGACCAAAAATGCTCATTGTGGAGGTTTATTAAGCCATCATGGCCAAATCCAGCTTCGTCCGTGAAAAGGATATTACGAACAAAATTTTGGTCACCATTATGAAGTATTCTAATTGTATTGCAGAAATTCACACGAGCAGCAGGATCTACGGCAGATAAGGCTTGCACCTTTTGGTAGTGGTACGGATGAAGGTTTTGTTCGCGTATTGTTTCATGTACGGAGCTCTTTGGAATGCCCTCCTGAATAGCAATTTTTCTTATACTTACATTGGGATTATTCTCTATCGAATTCAAAATACGAGCTTCTGCTTCTGCTGTTCTAGTATTCCGTTGTCGACCTACATCAAAAATTCTAGTTTTGAACGATCCAAATTCTCCCAGTCTTCGATGAATAGTACTGAACATTCGCGATTGGGGTAGGTTTCTATTTGGAAATGCTTCGCGATACAAACGTCGTGCTGCAAGAGCATTGCCAGCAGCTAAACCGTAATAATAATGCATGTCCCGCAACTCCACGTTAGAGTAATTGTTGTTCATTTTTATTATTATTTTTATGATAACAATTACTACAAAAGAACTTGTACAAAATTACTATCTGTCAAAACTAATTCTCCACAAACTTGTTTCCAAGGCAACTAAGCGCTTGTTTCCAAAGCATGCTATGTTTAATGTAGAAAATAAATTAAAATGATTTCGTATTCATCACATGCAAGCAATGTTATTTTAGCGTTTTTCTCGAAAACGGTTAGATTTATCGAAACAAATAAAGTATACCTTTTTTATGTCAAAAGGTTAGGAGAACAAAAATATTCAGTCAAAAGTCGCATAAAGTGTAGCACAAAAAAGTTGGAACCATTCAAATCAAAATAAAGGCTCGTATGTGGCGCCCTCTACAAAATGCGAAAAAACGGTGGGCAAATTTATAATCCTCATCCCTAAAAACCCCCATATACGAAATTTCGTCAAAATATTATGAGTGTGGCAAAAGGTATTGCAAAAAAACTACAAATAAAATTTAACTTTAACACCCTGTAACTCCGTTAATAATCAGTTTTGGAAAAAATGTTATAGAAAGAGGTAGGATTTATTTTCGGTCTAGAATTATCCCCTAAATTTTTTGCTCATCATTTCCGGACACCCTGTATAAATAGTGTACTTATCACGGTTTGCAAAATTGGCAAGTGGTCATAGTTTTATACAGTGGCATTAAGTGAGCAAATACATGTACAGTGACTGTTGTGGTTAACAAACTAATAATGTAAATAAGTGCATAGGTAACTTATAGGTACTTTTGCTTCATGCATCAGTGACGGAGATACAGGGTATTGGTGGCATACTTTTCTAAATAAAATAGTACGCCACTGCTTTACGGTAACAATCATGATATTCTCGGATTCGTCTTTCAATTTTTTTCAAATTACTACTCTTGTTTGTTTTTTGAAAAAGAGCCTGGTTTTCGAGTAAAACTTAATACACGAACTGAAAACACTTTTACTTGATTAAATGGTATGACCACAGACCACATAGACTGGCCGTATCTAATTCCAATGCACCAGTGAATGCAAAATCCGGGGAAGTGGAGTGTGGAAGGTAATCTGATCGCGTGCATCTTTAAGCAGATCCGGATTAAGTAATATTTTTATTACATATTAAACATTATATTGCATCTTATGACAAATATTCAATTTTAAGTTTGTAATTCAGAAAATATAATTTTATTTTATTTTATTAGAATTTTAGTGTCATACTAAATAAAACTACAAAATAATTTAAATATATTTATTATCCTCTAAATAATATTAATTTATTTAATATTTGTCTTTTCGTAGACTTTACCGAATTAAATAATTTGACTTCATGATTTATTCGTACATCGATATACTTTTCACATTCAGCCCTTACAAGTTCTATTAAATGATTACAATTGTTAGGCAAATTATCAAATTGATGTTCATGCAAATTTTCAAATATGTTCACATTCAGAAAGTTTTTTAATACATGATAAACAATTTTATTTTTCTGTAGCCTAGGTGTTCTGCTTTCATCATTATTTAAAAATTTTATTAATTTTTCTGTTTCTTAGCATATTACTACGACATCTCGAGATGGATACGTCAAACAACCACGATCTTTAATAAAAATTAATTGACTGTACGAATACTGAATCTGAAATTAGTTTTGTTTGCGATTTTTTTAATTGAAAAAAATATTTAATTAATTTTCAGCTATCTCGAAATGACGGGAATTGGTAAAATTTCATAAAAATTTAAGACTCACATAAAGTAAATAATTACTAAAAATATTTTACAGTAATTCATTCATTATTTTATAATAACAATATCACGTTAATCACTACACTATGTGGGCGAACAAAATTATAAAGCTAACCCTGGAAACTTGTGACGTTAACCGAAAAATGGCGTACATATTTACCTTTTATATATTCCTTTTTTTTACTTACCTAAAGAAGGAAACTTTTCGCCTCTCTTCACCAACTCAATCACTTCTATTTATACAATGTTTTACAATACGCTTGCCCATGATAAAACGTCTAATTATCGAAATCACAGCGATGCGTACACGTCAAATGCTAGGACACGAATGAGCGCTGGGCTCCAAATCAGGCTCCAAAGTGTTTTCACCAAAGTCACTCTATAAGCCAGTCTAGGTGGTCTATGGGTATGACGGACACTAATCATATGGTTATTTAAGTGAATAAAGATATTAATAACATTAGCCATCATTTTAATGATTTTATTTGATTAAATGCTCAAAAATATCTGCATTTCCATGAACACAGGCGCGACATCTTTTTAATAACAAAAATTAAATTTATTGTTGCTTGAATCTGATGAAAAGCACTATTTATTCTTCTAACTGCTCAGGTGTATTAATTTGTTCACTGTATACCAGCCGTTTAACAGCACCCCACAAAAAGAAATCCAGTGGGTTGAAGTCTGGTGTTTTCAGTTCGTTTTTTAAGTTTTACTCGAAAATCAGGCTTTTTTTCGAAAAACATAAGAGAGTTCTAATTTGTAGAAAATTGAAAGACGAACCCAAAAATATCACGTTATCTTAAAGCAGTGGCGTACTATTTCATTTAAAAAAATAAGCCACCCATTTTAGAAAAAGGCCTCAGATTTTTGACAATTTTTACATAAATGCAGGTGGCCAATTTCAAATTATTTCACTTACTAGTTCTCAAATTATTTAAAAAAAAAAACTATAAAATATATTTTTAAGTTTAACACCCTATATGTATCTTTTTAATGAAGTGTCCTGGATTTTATAGGAAAAACTCCCCTTAAAATTCATTAAAGAATACGAGGTTTCATTTTTGGTCACCGTTTGTGAATCACACTGTATATAATTTTCCATATATGTTAACTAGATTGTTTGTATGTAAAATGATCACATTATTTTTGAAGCAATTGCTTTAATTTCCCATCAACAAAAGGCATACTGATTAAAATGTTGCTTTATTCTAAATCTGTATAAATCGGTTGCAGGTGGCAAGATAAATATTGTAAAGCGTTGGACGTCCCCTGAGAGGAACATATTAAAATAAGAATTTGAAGAATATATAAAGCCAGAAAGTAACTAAGAAATACAAGGAAATACAGCATCGATTGCCAAAACATATAAAGAGCCAAATACAACATCTGAAACAAATTCAGGCTAAACGACTAAACTTCTGAGACATGCATGTATGAAGACTCAAAATAAGACTATTAAACTAATCAATGTAAGTAAAATATTGAAAGACTAACGTTATAGGTTGTTGATATCAAGGAAACGTAAAAAAACAATTACTTGTGTTTGGAAGATATAAACCAAACTTTTGTTTTCTTTTTTAAGGAAACATTGTATATTTGTAACTAATTGGAGTCTTCTCCTTTTTGTGAGTACAGTAATGTACATATATGTCATATTAATATATGGTTTGCACAATATTTTAGTTTATTTACCTACCCTCCACAATGGAGGATTTTTTTCTATTAAATTTATTAAACAGATCTTTAAATACTTTAATATGAAAACAGTATTGTATTGTTAAAGGTATTTTATAACAACCTCATCGTATTCTAGACAAAGGACATTTTATTAAATTATTAAATTTTTATATATTTAAAATCGCAAGAAAACTTCCTAAAACTTTTGTTTTCTTCCTGGATAGAAAGGTATCAAAGATAATGGAAATAAAATGTTATTAAATGGCCCTCTACATTTAAAAAATAATTTTTTCATATTTTTTCAGGACAACCGAAATTGAAGCCACTTGGCCACTACCCTAGATTTATGATTTTAATTAAATAATGTAATGAATATTTTTACAAAATTAATAAATAAAAAACTGATGAACTTGGCTTTTATTATTTTATTATAAATTAACAGTGTAAATAATGTACAATAAAATAGCTAGTTTTTGTTATCAAATAGTTAATGTATATAAATTTATTAATTACTAAATAATGTATGTATTCCATATAAAAGTACAATTACTTCATAATAATGGCATATTTGTAATTATAATAATTTATATTAATTATTTACCACATATGCAGTTGAAGTTAAGCCGGCCTCAGACGATGTGGCGAATCCCTTCCAACATTGGACACATCGTGTGGGCGGGCACTGGTGAATTGCATGTGTCCAGTGTTGGCTACATGCCACGTTCGGGCTTCTGTCGGTAAATCTGAGCTGCGTCAAAGGAGCTTCCAGCGTTGGAAGCATCATTCGTCACACACCCACAGAAGCAATCGTGTGTTTGACGTATTCCAGGAGCGCAGACAAATTCAATATTAACTAGTTTACTTTTTGATTTGTCTATAAAGTGATATTGTTGAATATATTTACGTAAAGTTTTCAAAATTGTACTTTTCACAAATATGTTAAGTAATACTTAACTAATGCCATATGAATTTCAAGAGATTTCAATTTAGAGATAGTATCCACCACCTTCTAACGCTTCTTTTTTTTTCGTAAAAATAGTTTTGCACTGCATACTACTATCATGCCGGCAACAATGCCAACAGATGTCTCTTCATTTTTCATTTTTTACTGTTTTGTGAATCTGCAGTATGAGTGCGACACTGACGAACGTTGGCCACACGTGTTTCCAATGTTCTACAAAAGTTCACCCCATCGTGTAGCAGACACTTGTCATACTTTTATGATGAAAATTGTGTCCAACGTTGAAACGAACATTGGAACCAACATTGGACACATTGTCTGGGACCGGCTTTAGTGAAATATTTATCAAGTAGATTTCGTAACTGGCTTTACTGCCTTTTAATAAAATACAGTTCTCAAAAATTGGCATTTTCTTAAAACCTCTACCAATAAAATATGTGGCAAAAAACAAGAGTGTTTAACGTTTTCTTAGTGACCTATATCCTTAGCTACTCTAGGACACTTCACTGAAATATCTTTAAAAGTAACGGTTAAAAAAATCAAAAATTTTTTTCTTTGAGGGCCGAAAACTGAGAAAGCTTCATTTTAGGGCATCTATACATTATACCAAAGTCAAGTACCTACATAATAATATTTCTTTTTAGGAAGGCTAATTAAATCCACAAATACATTCCATTCCTAATTAATATCTATATAGGTCTTTTTTTGTAGGTTTTCAAAATCATACTAAATATTAATTAAATCTAAAAGGTTGTTTTAGTTTACTACATTTATAAATATTTCAACTTTACAGTACAACTTCCGTATTCACCCTAAATCCATATATTTGTATATAACAACTACCTTGGTTTTTAATAAAATATTTCTAAAATACTGCTTGAAACTATTTATTAGTGGTATATTATTTACCATTTGATCTTTTTCGTAATTTATGATCCTGAAATGAACTAGGATAGGCAACTGACACAACATAAATATGGCTGCCTAGGTAAGAATTATTGAAAAACATTTCATTTAAATTTACAAATGCCTAAATGAAAAAGAAATACACCATTGGATAGAGGAAATGATAGTACTTCTATATATACTCTAAAAAAAATTGATTTATTTCCCCCCTTTTTCGAGAGGTTCAAGGTAACACTACACGTATATATATATATATATAGGGTCGGAAAGTCCACATGGTTAATCGGCCGTTACGTGAAAGCGATAAAGAAAGTCATAGAAATCCGTGCGATAGAAAAAGATGGCTATAATGAAGGCGTCTAATAGTCACCGCCCATTTCGCCCTTCCACAAATAAGATCCACTTCTTATTATTTATAGCATGTCTCGTAAAGATAGATTCATGGCTCCACAATATCTTTTGATGGAAATTTCGTCATTATAGATATTTTCTAACAACCATCTGCAAAAATTGTATCCTTTTTTCGGAATAATCAGGATGCAAAGTTTGTACTTTATGTTGATGGTATGGGTGCATTTCTTCTCGGTTTAAAATTCTCCAAACTCTGCTTCGTGGAGTACCTACTTACGCTGATATTCTTCGGACACTGGTGGAAGGATCATCGACAATAGCAGCTATTAGGTACATTTTCTCCCAAATTATCTCTTATTCTAGTATTTCTAATTTTAACACTCCCAGTGTGTCACGGACTCTTTGAAAAACTCGTTGGAATACGTGCTGTGAAGGTTGCCTTCTGTCTGGAAACCTGTGTAGATATTCTCGTGACGCGATCAATGAATTTCCATCACAGAAAGCGTAGTCAAATATCATATCGGCATATTCGTTGTTAGAAAATTCCATAATACTTAATATCTTGCTGTTTTGTAAACATAATTTATCGTAACTTCGAGTACTGTAATTAATTTTGACATGTACGCTTGTAAACAACTTTGTTTTTTATCATGACAGGTACCTACTAGATAACAACAAATAAAATCTTTACATGCATTTTTCTATAAATGCAGGCGATGTTTTAGGCCCAATTTACTCGAAAACGGTTCATTTTTGAGCTATGAAACAAGAGCACATTTTTTGTTCAGAATCGATTGCAGGTTCAGGAAAACGTAATCAAATTACATAAAAGTAGGATATGCAAAAGTTATGAAGACATAACCTTGAGGACAAGCTGGCCTAGGCCGCCCTGGGCGTCAGATCGAAATAACCACCATGTAGTTTTAATGACCTTAAATAGATGTAAACTTCATCCAAAAATTACTTAAATTCTAAAAAGGGTTTTTGAGTTATTTCGGAAAATTGTTATTATTTTTTTCTAAACAACACCCTGTAACTCAGTGAGAGTGCATCGCAGAAAAATATTTTATACGAATTTTAATCTTATTTTGGTCTGGTCTACCCCCTGATAAATTTTTGTACGCTGAGTCTGGGACACCCTGTATACAGGGTGTTAGTAAATAAGTGCGACAAATTTCAGGGGGTGATTATACATGAGAAAATAATGTCAGTTTGCTTATAAACGTATGTCCGCAAATGATTCGTTTTCCGAGATACGGGGTATCAAAGTTTTTCTTAAAAACTGACGATTTAATTTATTGCTCTGAAACCGGTCCAGATGTGCAAATGAAATTTGGTGGGTTTTAAGAGGTAGTTATTGCGCATTTTTTGACACACAGTTAAGAATTTTATGTTCATCATTGACGCGCGTACGGGTAATAATCTCAATTTTTTTAAAGAAAAAATGGTACGCCACTGAGATATTACAAATTAAAAATCATTTTTAATTCCTCGTTCAATTTGTGACAAAAAATCTCACTTGCCTTTTCTTCGTATGGGGCGCCGTTTTGATGCAAAAAAATAAAACATCTCCTCTTGATTTTTGCATTTGAGGTTTTCTTAAGTCATTAGTTTATTCCACTCCCGTTGAAAATGTTGATGACCTGAGGAATCGAATTACAGTCGGCTGTGAGACAATAAGAAATATACCAGGAATATTTGCGCGAATACGACAATCAATGAGGCGAAGAGTTGAATCTTGTGTCACGTCTGAGGGAGGTCATTTTGAACATTTGTTGTAGCTTTGCGCCTTTTCAAAATTTTATTAGTGTTATTTTCTGTTATTGTTCTTGTTTAATGTTATTGTATTAGATAGTTCTTGATAATGTATTAAAGAAATAAAAAATACGCGTTAAGATGTTTTATTTTCTTGCATCAAAACGGCGCCCCATACGAAGAAAAGGCTGTTAAGATTTTATTTTATTTGGTATATATCATTGATATAATAAGCGCTTTTAAATATATAAATAATATTTTCGGACACTGGAGGACATCTGTGGGAGAGTGGAAAGGTATTTGTATTTAAATTTAAAAAAAAAAAGAGGAAGATAACACTATCGGTTGCCGAAAAACGTCGCTTCGCGTAGAGTAAAGAGCGTTTCTCGTGGAGTTTTTGTTCGAGTTTTGTAAAATGGCTAGCTGTCGTGGGTGTCGGCAAAATAATTACTATTGCTAATTATCATACGTGATTTNCAGTTTGCTTATAAACGTATGTCCGCAAATGATTCGTTTTCCGAGATACGGGGTATCAAAGTTTTTCTTAAAAACTGACGATTTAATTTATTGCTCTGAAACCGGTCCAGATGTGCAAATGAAATTTGGTGGGTTTTAAGAGGTAGTTATTGCGCATTTTTTGACACACAGTTAAGAATTTTATGTTCATCATTGACGCGCGTACGGGTAATAATCTCAATTTTTTTAAAGAAAAAATGGTACGCCACTGAGATATTACAAATTAAAAATCATTTTTAAATTCCTCGTTCAATTTGTGACAAAAAATCTCACTTGCCTTTTCTTCGTATGGGGCGCCGTTTTGATGCAAAAAAATAAAACATCTCCTCTTGATTTTTGCATTTGAGGTTTTCTTAAGTCATTAGTTTATTCCACTCCCGTTGAAAATGTTGATGACCTGAGGAATCGAATTACAGTCGGCTGTGAGACAATAAGAAATATACCAGGAATATTTGCGCGAATACGACAATCAATGAGGCGAAGAGTTGAATCTTGTGTCACGTCTGAGGGAGGTCATTTTGAACATTTGTTGTAGCTTTGCGCCTTTTCAAAATTTTATTAGTGTTATTTTCTGTTATTGTTCTTGTTTAATGTTATTGTATTAGATAGTTCTTGATAATGTATTAAAGAAATAAAAAATACGCGTTAAGATGTTTTATTTTCTTGCATCAAAACGGCGCCCCATACGAAGAAAAGGCTGTTAAGATTTTATTTTATTTGGTATATATCATTGATATAATAAGCGCTTTTAAATATATAAATAATATTTTCGGACACTGGAGGACATCTGTGGGAGAGTGGAAAGGTATTTGTATTTAAATTTAAAAAAAAAAAGAGGAAGATAACACTATCGGTTGCCGAAAAACGTCGCTTCGCGTAGAGTAAAGAGCGTTTCTCGTGGAGTTTTTGTTC